CCATGCTCCGCAACAAGAGAAGCCATCGCGGTGAGAAGCCCGCGCACCGCAAAGAAGAGTAGCCCCCGCTCGCTGCAACTAGAGAAAGCCCGCGTGCAGCAATGAAGACCCAGTGCAGCCAAAAATAAATAAATAATTTTTTTTTTTTTAAAGTTAAGCACAGAACTGCCGTAGGTACAGCAGTTCTACTTCTAAGCAAATATCCAAAATAATTGAAAGAAGGGACCTAAACAGATACTTGTATACCAACATTCACGGCAACATTGTTCATAATAGTTAAAAGATGGAAACAACCCAAATGTCCCTCCACTGATGAATGGATAAACAAAATGTGTTATGTACATACGATAGGATATTATTCTGCCTTAAAAAAGAAGGAAATTCTGAAACAATCAGAATTGGAACCTTGGAACCTTGGTTCCAAGGAACCTTGGAGACATTATGCTAAGTGAAAGAAGCCAGGCACAAAAGGACAAAAATTGTATGATTCCGCTCATATGAAGTACTTTGAATAGGTAAATTCATAAAGACAGAAAGTAGAATAGTGTTACTGGGGGCTAGAGTGAGGGGAAATGGGGAGTTACTGTCTAATGAGTACAGAGTTCCTGTTTGGGATGATGAAAAAGTTTTGGAGGTGGATAGTTGTGATGGTTCCACAACATTGTGAATATATTTAATGCCACTGAATTTTACAGTTAAAAATGGTTAGAATGGTAAATCTTATGTCATGTATATTTTACCACACCTATACACAAAAGAACCCTCTCCTCTTGTGCATGCACGTGAGTGGGAGTGTGTACGGGGAGGGCACAAATGTGCCATGCCACACTGAAAGCTGGTCCCTCCCGCTCAGACACTCCATTTCAGTGATGGTGGAGATGTGCTCTCTCTGGTAGTGTGATAACCAGCCAAGTCATTCAGCTGCAGCCACATGTGTAAGCACAGGAGAGCGATTCAGTCATTAAGAAAATGTTAACTTACAAGAAACTTTAAATCCTTTCTGGAAAGAAGTACTAGGGGACTGGGTGGGAAAGAGACCTACTTTTCCCTATATGCTCATTGTACTGTTAGGTTTTTGTAAACCATAGTTACGTATTACCTATTTTGAAAAATTAAAATAATTTATTATGGGGAAAAAGCAAGGAATAATAAAAGAATTATTGATTTTATTCTGTTTAAGAAAACAGGAATGTACATGTTTATTTAAGACTTGCTGCGGAGGTGTCTGAGTCAGCTTTGAGGTCTAAACATAATTAGAACACTGATAGACGGACTCCTTTGTGAATCCACTCATAATAGGGGCTTTGCTGCAGTTTACTCTCCACCTATACCACCTTACAGTATTAGGAGAGTCACATAAGAGAACAGATGTTCAAACACCTGGATTTTGCTTTGCAGTTTCAAAATGTGATAGCTATATCTGCCCATCCGGAGCTACATCTGAGTCTTAATACACAGTGAAATAGGAGATGCTTCCATTGCTTGTTATGGGGTGATGACAGGGGAAGGTGAAACTGGGAGCTTTGATAGACTTGGAAACTCTTCTTATGAATGGAGGGTTTGAGATTTTAGTTTTTTATTTGTAAAGTATTGTCTGTGTTCTGGTGCCTTACCAAGCATATGTTAGGTTGAATGCTGAATGCTGCAGCTGGGTTGACCAGCCGGGTCTTACTTATTCCCTCCCTCCCTCCCTCCCTCCCTCCCTCTCTCTATAATATGTATGTATATATAGTACCTATGGTATTGCTTCCTTTTTCCACTTGTCACCTTAATTAATTGTTATATTAACTGTAATTTTTGCATCCAAGTTAAATTGATAGTAGGAAAGGAAGGGCTTTTGGTGCATGTGAAAGGCAGCAGGTTTCTAGTCTCTTCTAGAGGAGGTTATAGACACACTCTGGGGATGCAGCAGGCTTTCTCGACTCCCCTTTTGAGACTCTAGTAACTCCAGCCAGTACCGGCACTTCGAGGGGGCTGCATGGACCGACATTTCTGACTCCCTTATTCCAGGAGGCCCACTCCACTTAATACTCTATCTTTGGAAGTGGGAGAAAGAGCAAATAGAGGAATCAGGCAAAATGAGGTTAAGATATTTTTTTTTGGTGTTCAGTTTGAGGAGATATGTAACCATACCTTTTAGAGGCTGATTGCTGAAAAACCACTGTTCATTTATTTAATTGGGAATTGTTTTTCTCCTCCTTTTTTGATATCACAGTCAAACCTTTATATTGATTTTTCTTTCCTCTTTCCTCCTTTTCCTTTTTTTCCCTTCCATTTTATTTTTTTGTTACTTTCCTTTTATTTTTTGCATCTCTTCCTTGCAAATTAAAATGAGACAGTAGAATTCGTTTACAAGAAATATTTGTTTGAAAGAAGACCCTGAATTCTATGAAATTGCTTTTTTAATATTTTCTAATTTCTCTTTTGATTTTTTTATCATTTATTTATTTATATTAAAAAATAAACTATTTTATTTATTTTTGGCTACGTTGCGTCTTTGTTGCTGTGCGCGGACTTTCTCCAGTTGCAGTGAGCGGGGGCTACTCTTCATTGTGGTGCACGGACTTCTCATTGTGGTGGCTTCTCTTGTTGCAGAGCACGGGCTCTTAAGCGTGCAGGCTTCAGTAGTTGTGGTTCACGGGCTCTAGAGCGCAGGCTCAGTAGTTGTGACGCATGGGCTTAGTTGCTCCACGGCATGTGGGATCTTCCCGGACCAGGGCTTGAACCTGTGTCCCCTGCATTGGCAGGCGGATTCCTATCCACTGTGCCACCAGGGAAGCCCTATCATTTATTTATTTATTTGTTTGCATCGGGTCTTAGTTGTGGCAGGTGGGCTCCTTAGTTGTGGCACATGGGCCCCTTAGTTGTGGCAAGTGGGCTCCTTAGTTGTGGCAGGCGGGCTTCTTAGTTGTGGCATGCAAACTCTTAGTTGCAGCATACATGTGGGATCCAGTTCCCTGACCAGGGATTGGACCCGGGCCACCTGCATTGGGAGCTCGGAGTCTTAACCACTGTGCCTCCAGGGAAGTCCTGAAATTGCTTTTTTTTGTGTGTGTGTGTGAAGTTTATATTTTAGAAGGTAAGGATAATGTCATCTTAGATTGTAAAAATTATTCCCTTACCCTTAGGGATGTAAGAAAAACCTTTTAAAGCTAAACTTCTAGCAAAGATTCTACAGGTTATTGAGCCAAAAGCATTGAAAATAACTGTAGTTATTCTACTGCCTAAGTTTTTAAGGGTCAGCATTTCCAAATCTTCAGGGCACACATCTAATTTTTAAATTCTTCTCAGGGAATGAATGCAGGTATTTAAACTTTTCTTCTGTTGTAATTTCCAAAACATTTTCTGTCTTAATAAAACAGCGTGTTTAGTAATATATAGTAGAATAAATAAATTGGACTGGTAATCAGGTACCTGGTCGCAGTCTTCCTGTTATCAAGTCATTGAACCCCTTCTGCTCTGGTTCTGCAACTGAAATCGAAGGGACTGGATGTGTGAGCTTCTGAGGTTTATTTATAAAACTTTAGTCATTCCAGGTTTTATTAGCATTTTTCTAAAGCTGATAAAGTAAAAGATTAAAAAAACTTTGCTAATAGTACTGTTCATATAAAAAATATAATTTATTTCAATATAAAGTAAGCTAGACTTCGATTCTGAAGGGGCTTAGTCAGTGGATGACTAAAACAACCTTTTTATGAGATGATCTCATGTAGAAATCAGTTTCAAAATACATTCTCTGACACCTTGGAACTAAAACCCCAGGATCTCATTTTAGATGAGATTAATAATTGTAAGAAATCTGTCATTAGCTTGTATCTTATTTCTATTCAGATATTTAAAAATAGTAACTCATCACTGTTTAGTTGACTTTTTCTGTTATGGCTTTCATTGAAATACTGTTGCTTTAGTCATTCTCCCTAAGTTCCTTTTCCTGAGAATAAAGGATTGAGCTCATACCTTTGCATAACGATCTAGAGAGTATTTTAAGCTTGGCATGTTCAAACCTGGCAGACTCGATTAATATTGGACAAACTAGCGCATTAGAACACTTTTTTTAAGTTCCAAGCCACAAATTGTGCTTTCAGTGAACACGGACATGTATAAAATTAATACTTAAGCCTTGAATAGCATAGACATTCAAAAGACCAGTTGCTGTGGGTGACTTGATTTTCAGCGAGGCTCCTGCTTGCCCTGCACATTTCTTTCTCTGCTTTAAGCAGTGAGGAGAGCAGAGTTAAGAGAAGGTCTGGGGCTTCCCTGGTGGCGCAGTGGTTGAGAGTCCTCCTGCCGATGCAGGGGACACGGGTTCGTGCCCCGTTCCGGGAGGATCCCACATGCCGCGGAGCGGCTAGGCCCGTGAGCCATGGCCGCTGAGCCTGCGCGTCCGGAGCCTGTGCTCCTCAATGGGAGAGGCCACAGCAGTGAGAGGCCTGCGTACCGCCAAAAAAAAAAAAGAGAAGGTCTGGTTCTTCGGTGCTCTGCTACCTTTTGTTTCCGGCAAAGAAAATGGCTGCTGTTTTCCTTTTTAAACTCTTACCATATGGAATGTTTCTATAAATAAACCTTGGATTTATGATTGGACTTCAAAATTTGTAACCTCTACCACCCGTGACTAAAGCTAGTATAAATACCTATTTAAACATACATACTGCCTACAGAATTGTGGCATCCGTTCACTGAGAAAGGTCACCAGCCATAATATCTAAATAGTCAATTCAGTTAATTTCTCCTGTGTCTGTTGACATGGATGAGGACCTCATTTTGTCATCAAGCAAAAACTAGTCAGGTGGTAGTGTTTGGTGAATCCACTGACTTTTTTGTGCATGAATTGTTGGTATAATTATGTAGCAGACATATTCAGGAAGATGTAAAAGTGCATTAGATTTTTGACAAACTGAATTGTTTAAGTGTACTAAATGGGCTCACTTTTTAGAAGAATCCTATCGTTTTTCATTTTGTAAATTTGAGTCAGTCGGGCCTTCAGTCAACAAGTGCATATAATGGGCACCTATTACATGCCAGACACTGTGCTAGGTCTTGGGGTATATAGAGTCGTAGAAAAGATGTTACCTGTTCAGACAAGTAAGAGAAAAAAAAAAGGAAACCTGGGGACAGTAGAATATTTTATCATTGTAATGGAAAAATGGACAAATGCCATGTAGGTGTGGCAGAGAGGCCAGTGATTAACTCTGGAGAATTGGAAGAGATTATAGAAAAATGTTTCAATTGAATCTTAAACAATATTATTTACAATAATGGCTATATCTTAGAGTGCCTACTGTATACTAGGACTAGTTAATGTTACCCACCAGGGAAAAGGTGGGGAAAACATTCAAGGCAGTAGGAGAAACAAAGGAGCTATCAAAGACTGTGTATCCTAGAAGGAAGAAGTCTGGTGTGGCTAGCGGGGATGGGGAGGGAGGTCAGCGGCCAAGGCAAAGGCTAGTCAGACTTGATGGGATCAGATTATGAAGGACCTCAGGTAGAGTCTGTCTGTCCCCGCCACCATGGTTTTGTTCTTGTTTCCTTTCCTGAAGAACCTTTCTCCTCTCTTTGCTGATTTTATTATTTTTTTTAAAGGTCCAGCTTTAAGGCATCTCTTCTGTAAAGCTTTCCTTTCCTTTTCCCAAAGGTTATTCATTTTTTTACTGAATGATTGCACAAAGAGAGTGTACCTCATAATAGGGCATTCCATTTCTTGGACCATTTCTTGGATTTAGTCTGATCTCCCCAACTAGTTTCTCAACTCCTAAAGGGCAGAGAATAAATCATGATTAGCATCTACTATAGTGCTCAGTCCACCATGGGGACTAAGAAATGTATTATGAGTGGATGAATATGGAACATATATAGATATCAACCATTGAGACAGCCCAGCCACAGTGGTTGAGATTGCCTACATTTATTTAAGAGGCATTTCTTAACACAAGTAAGAGCAATTTTCAGAGGTATAGGCCAGTTGTCATTTGGATGTAAAATGAGTTAATAAGAGTATCTCATAGGGTTGTTGTGAGGATTAAATTAGTTAGTACATTTAAGCACTTAGAACAGTGCCTAGCATATAGTAAGTATTCAATCAGTGTTACCTGTTATTTAACTCCACATATCTGGGCCTTTTTGCCAGTGACACTCAGCTACTGTTGTGGTTGTGGAGAGGATAGAAAGCAGATAAGAAACAGCTTCTTACCATTGAAACCAAATATGCTGTAGGAACTGGAAGAACTGCTTATATTGCATGAACTTTTATTTTTCTGTTTGTGTTTTAGTGATCGAAGGGTATGGTTGGCATGGAATTGAATTTCATCTGTCTGTGAGAATTGTAAACAAGGTAGGTCCCAGGTTTATTTATTCTTTCCTGCCTCCTTTCTAAGGTGTTTGTTAGTATTTTCAGTTCTACTGAACTAGAATTGATCAGATTTGATTATTGTTTAGGGAAACACTCAGCCTGGCCCTATGATGGTCTGTCACCATGGTTTATCTAGTGTTGTGGACTACATCTAGTGTCTTGTCTGAGGGTATTGAATGCCAAGAAACAGCACAACCGATTTAAAATTTTGGTGGTCATAGAACAGAACCATGAATTCACACACACGCACACACACACCATGACCCATTCCTTAGAGGGCAGAAGTTCTTGTATTGGAGCCATTATGTAAACCAGCTTGGGGTAGTGGGAGGTGACAGGCTAGCTGATTCTTCTGGTCACTAAAATTCAGTAGCTTATGTGAATGGTAGACTAGATGCAATCAAAGGGCTTATCTTGACAGTAACCAGACCATCACTGACAACTATGAATTTTGTTACTGATGACAGAATCTGTCCATTTGTAACCACTAGAGTTTGTTTTGACACAGCATGCTTGTGTTCCTATCTTAAGCTCCAGAGTCTGAACAAAAGTACACCAGATATGACTTTGGCTCATATATCTCTCTTGTATCAGATGCCCACAAAAAAGAGCTATAGACGGCAGCTTCACACAGCTCTGCAAACCTATTTTTGGCAGAACATTTCCTGTTAAAGTAGGGACTAGTGCTGTTTCATGTAGTTTTAGTTTCCCATAATCTTAGGTATGTGGAGACCCCATTGCTCATTGGTGCAGGAAACTTGGATCATTTGGAGAGTGAAATTGGTAGCCAAAAAAACCAATGGCAGTACTCTCCAAAATCCTCCAACCAAGAATCCTGTGAACTTGAGCATGGGGTTCTCTGGGTTGATGACAATCTTTGGACTCTTGCTGCACCTGCACTTAGAATAGAATAGCTTCTTGAGACTGGCTTCCAGTCACAAAGAACAGGAACTGCTAATATATTGCTATGGGGAAAAACAGTTGAGCCACTTCCTATAGCAGAAGGAACATGGTCCATGGAATTGACACTGCTGCCTAGGAAGGGAGGTAGAGAGAGTAAAGTTTAACTTTTGCAAATCAGTGCCTTCATCATCATCTGGTGGCCTGAATTTTCAGAGTCTGATCTAGGTGTTCGGTGAGGAAATTATCTTTTTTCTATTTTCCTGCTATATATTGGGGTATAATGAGCAGGAACTGTTTTATGGAAATACTCTAAGAATTAATGGAAAGGAAAGAAAGGAACTAACATTTATTGAATGCCTAGTAAAGGTTTGGCATGGTACCATAAACTTTAAAATTCATTGATATTACAATTTTTCAAGTCTAGATGGATAATATGAATATCACTATCTTGAACTATTTTGACTTTTATTATAGCCACTTAGAGGAGATAGAATTATATATTAATACATGCTATTTCATTTGTATCTGCTAGAGCATTCTTTTATGGAGGAAGAAAGAAAATACCTACATGACTTTTGAGTTTTTTTGTTTTTATTTTCTGGGCTTGCTACTGATTTAGCCAAAGTCAGCGAGGAGACTAGCAGGTCTGAAATTAGAGACACCTGTGCTGTTTTGGAAGCTGAGACTCTTGATCCAGGGTTCGCTGAAGTTGGTGCAGGGGAGGTCAGAGTAGGTTAATATTTTCATAGCTCAAAGCAAATGTGAATTGTGGTTGTTTATAAGTGCATTTTTGCTTGATCTTTGTTTGTAGTTACAAATGGGGTAAATAAAATACAGTACTGCTGTTTTGGGAAACTTCTGCGAAAGTCCCTGAACCAATGCAAATTAATCTTCAAAAATACCAAAAAATTCCCCATGTGGATATTTTGACTGACTGAGGGAATTGACTGTTGCCATCAGGCTTGTAAAGAAATTAACATACATTTTAAAAAACAATTATATATTTGATTTTCTGCTTTTAAATTTCTTTAAATTCTTCTCATAGGAGGTACCATCTCTGTATCTCAGGCACATGCAATAATGTGAGATCAGAATAAATTGTTACTCTCTTCTAGGGGATAGGAAATTAAGTCAAAGTGTTCCTTCTCCTTATTCCCCACTTAAGGGTTCCAAATCCATTGTCTTTCTACTCTTAAGATAGTAAGATTTTGTGGTCCTAGCCAGGTTTATAGAGAGTTACCCACAGACACAATACTATCCTTTATTTGGCTGAAATGAAAACATTAATATTTCTTAATCTATGAAAAATTTCCTTTTTATTTTCTTGTCTGTCGAATGAATTACTGTACTTTTCCTCTTGGCTACTTCCTTTCTTTAGTCAGAAAAACTCTAATATAATTTTCCCTCCTTTAGCGAACAAATACCACTTAAAAAAAGAAAACAGCTTTATTGAGGCATAATTCATATACTGCAAAATATGCCTTTCTGAGGTGTATAACTCAGTGATTTTTATCAGATTTGTAGAGTTGTGTAATCATTATCACATGGCAGTGTTACTTTTCCAGCATCCCCAAAAGATCTCTTGTAAACACCATTTTTTAACTTCCTCTAAAGTCATCCACAAATTTTGTTGTTGTGCGTCAGATTTAATCTCCTTTCTATAAAGTTTCCCAGCATTCTATCGCATGTCTTCTTCCCCCCTTTTATTATTTTTTTATTAAAAAAAATTTTTTTAAGCATCTTTATTGGAGTATAATTGCTTTACAATGGTGAGTTAGTCCCCCCTTTTATTTTTATATTAGTTTCTTATTGCACATCAAGCATATCATCCTTTTGTTATTTTAAGTCCATTCTCTCACCTCTTTTAAAACAGTGTAATCTTTTTTAAAAAGAAGGGCTTTGGGCTTCCCTGGTGGCGCAGTGGTTGAGAGTCTGCCTGCCGATCCAGGGGACATGGGTTCGTGCCCCAGTCCGGGAAGATCCCACGTGCCGCGGAGCAGCTGGGCCCGTGAGCCATGGCCGCTGAGCCCGTGAGCCATGGCCGCTGAGCCTGCGCATCCGGAGCGCTCCGCAACGGGAGAGGCCACAGCAGTGAGAGGCCCGCATACCGCAAAAAAAAAAAAAAAAAAAAAGGAAGGGCTTTAACTTTTATTCAGAGTTAATTCCCACCCCCCCCCACAAAAACCTTAGGTCTCTCAGTAAAAGCTCTTGCATTATTCTTGGTTTCCTGTTCACTTCACTTGTTATTTATTTATTTTTAAAGGAAATCATGTATCTGGTTATTTCTCTTTGTAAATATAGATTAGATATTTGCCAGTTTGGAGAATTCTGCTTGGTACAGGAGTGTTCAGATGCTTAGTAGATAAAATAAGGTAAATGAATATTCTGGTACTCCTGAGCTTTTAAAAATTTTATCAGTGTATTGGTTATCTGCAGTTGACCCTTGAACAACATGGGTTTGAACTGCATGGCTTCACTTACACACAGATTTTTTTCAATAAATACGTATACCGGGACTTCCCTGGTGGCGCAATGGTTAAGAATCTGCCTGCCAATGCAGGGGACACAGGTTCGATCCCTGGTCCGGGAAGACACCACATGCCATGGAGCAGCTAAGCCTGTGCACCACAACTGCTGAGCCTGTGTGCCACAACTACTGAAGCCCGTGCACCTAGAGCCCATGCTCTGCAACAAGAGAAGCCACTGCAATGAGAAGCCCGCACACCTCAACGAAGAGTAGCCCCCTCTGTCCGCAACCAGAGAAAGCCTGCACACAGCAATGTAGACCCAACGCAACCAAAAATAAATAAATAAATAAATAAATAAATAAATAAATAAAATACGTATGCTACTGCACCATCTGTGTTTGGTTGAATCCTCGGATGTGAGACCACAGGTGAAGAGGACTGACTATGGGACTTGAACATCCGCAGATTTTGGTATCTGTGGCAGGTTCTGGAACCAATTCCTTGTGAATACTGAGAGATGACTGTATTTCAACATAATAAATTATCCTAAAACTCAGTTTCAACAGCTTGAAACAACAATAAATGTTATTGTACACAGTTTCTGTGGCTCAAGAATCTGGGAGCATTTTAAGTGAGTGATTCTGGCTCAGGTTGCACTCATAATGTCTCCTGGGGCTGTGGTCATCTGAAGGCTTGACTGGGGCCAGTGGATCTACTTCCAAGGTGGCTCACTCACACAGCTGTTGGCAGGAGGCCTCAGTTCCTTAACAGATGGACTTCTCCAGAGGACTGCTTGAGTTCTGTCACAGCATGGCAGCTGGCTTCCCTCTAGAGCGACTAAGCTGAGAGAATAAGGAGGAAGCCACAGTACCTTTTATGATTTCATGTCAGAAGTCACGTATTGTCACTTTTGTTACATTCTGTTCATGAGAAGAGAGTCACCAAGTACAGCCCACACTCGAGGGGGGTAGTAGTTTCCACCTTTTGCACGGAGGAGTATTAAAGAATTTGTGGGTATATTTTAAAGCTACCACACTTGGTATTTTAATGACTTTATTTTTGCCTATGCGAGTTCTGTAGCTGCTGCCTTTGTCCTTTGTTTTCAGTAGAATTTAGTTTTTGTTTTATTGTTCATGTGTATATCTAGGTTATGTTTTAATTTCTTTTTGGTAATGGAAGCTTTAACATTTTAGTTAAAATGACTAAATAGGTTATAAATAAAACATGTGCTTTAAAGGTTGGATAAACCTTCTTCCCAAATTCATATTTAGGGGATGAGAGTATATGGTGTAGTTTACTGGTAGGTTTTAAAATTGGACAAATTTTCTGGTAACAGAGGCTTCTGTATTTCCCTTCTCAGACAGGTTGTGAAGGAGTAGGATCTATACTTGCTGTTGTCACTTCCACATCTCTTTCTACTTCTTAATCCACTGAGTTGTTCACTGCACATGGGTGCCAGCCTGAGGGTGTGTGTATGTGTGTGGGGGGGCTGAAGTCCACCCTGAACCCTGCTTATCAATCTGTGTTGATAAAGGCACCCTTTATGAATCTGCATTTAGGTACCCTGTGGTCTCACTGAAGTCACCAGTCACTATTTTGTCCATATGCCAA